TAACTGACCTTTGGCCTAAAAAAAGATGAAGCGACGAGTGGGAGGAGGAGGGTTCCTGCAAATGGGAGGAAGGTAGTCTGTAAACAATCAGTGTCAAAAGATAAACAACTCCCCATCCCTGCTCTCTCATTAGCTTAGCTGAATAGCGATCAATCTGGAGCCACATTAGCACACTTTGAGTTAATTTCCTGTATGCATGGAGCCAAATAATAACAGGCTGGATAAACTTTCTTTTTAAACATGCTGGTGATTGGATTTTGATCGAATCCTGGTTAAATAAAGGTCAACGGATGAAATAATAATTGGCACAAGCTCCTCTCAGACTTGACATGTCTGTCCTTGCTACACGCCCTGGCTCCAGGCCTCCAGATATTTATTGTCAAAAGAAGTTTTATGAGCCACAAGCATGACAGTAAATGCAACGAGAATGACAGAAGAGTCTCATGTAAAAATGAAACCACCCTCTGGTCACATATTGAAAACATTTAGGTTATTTCCTGAGAACATCACTTTGATTGGGGGTTTATCACTCTGAGACCGCCTGCTGCCGCGGAGGAAGCAGAAAACACATGTCGCTGATATTCTGTTCAGCAGTCATGACTAAAAATGGAAATTGACTGAAGCAGCAAAATTTAAGCAGACGTTATTTTTCATTTCACAAAACTGATGTGATGGTGGATAATTAGTGAATATCACTCAACTTAATGTACTTTTCGTCACTGAAAATAAAAACCAGCATTACCTCTGTCAATGAGGTTATGTTGCCCTGTGTCCTGTTTTTTTGTTTTTTTGTTGATTGGTTTATTTGTTTATAAGCTGGAATATGCAAAAACTACTGAATGTATTTCAATGAAACATAGCAGAGGAATGGGACACGGGCCAAGAGAGAACTCATTCAATTTTGATGCAGATCCAGACAAAAGAATAGATCCGTTTTTTTGCTCACTTTCTTTAACATTTTTTACCAATTTTCCAGGCATGCATCTTGAAGGGAAAATAGAACTGAGATCTATGAGTGTGTTTAATTTGGTGCTGCTCGATTGCATGTATGAGTATGTGCTATACTGTTTGCCATTATAATTTGTTAATGGTCTCAGTTTGCAGCAAATGCACAAGACACTTCTGCAGAGCTGCAGCAGAGGCCTTGTTGTGGTACGTATTAACGTGACTCAAATGCAGTTATTCAATAGTACACAACAAAACAAAGGGAAAAGGACAATAAGAATATTTCAAAGTGTACAGTTGACACTCACAATGAAGAGGCCTGCAGCTTTAGTTTATTAACTGACTGTTAAACAAATGTAGATAAATACAAATGCATAATACATACATAATTATATTAATGTGTAATAGTAAAATGTAGTGCAGCAGCTGGAAGGTTGATATTATGACCTCAATTTCCCCCAAAAAACATGGTTATAATGCTCTTATTTACTGTGCAGATTTAGTCACAGATGATCGACAGAGTGGACATGTTTCAGTAGAATGAAAGACAACAAAGAAAGAGTGGAGAGAGTGGTCTTTTGGCTGACGGGCCCGAAGCAATGAGCAATTCAAGGCCTGAGCTACTGTGATCAGAGAGCAGATGATAAGTCTATAAATAGAAGTGTGCAGTGGGAGGGACAAAGGCTATTTCCCTTGCAAAAGGAAAGTTGAATTTCTGCACCTTAGAACACGACCAGTTGACATTGCATTATTTCCCATTAAAGCAAACATCACAGGATTAGATTGGCAAACACATTTTACCAGAACAACAATGACTCTTTTGTTATGCAAACCATGGAAATAGAAAACCAATAATTGAAATGAAGTTACAGCAGTTTTATAGCTTTGCAACATTTGCAGGTTTTTCATGTGACTTTGGTTTAGTTGCCATTTTTTAAATACACAGTATTTTTACTTTGTTACGGTTTGAAATCCAACAAGTTGAATTAGATTAACAGGCATTTTACAAAAACAGATTTTTGCAGGCCTGTTCTTAATGAACCGCAGATCTGAGTTCTTTCTGATCAGCATTTATAAACTACACCAAGTCCTTCTTTGGATTGTCAAAGGACGTCCGGAGGTGGAGGGGGGACAGGACTTCTGAATCTTAGCAGAGTTAACACTTCTAAACTCAAAAGTGACAACATGCATGAGTTGATGAATTGTTGCTGACATAAAAGATCCTCACAAAGTCAAGGGCGGGCATTTGCTTTATTGCATTGACCCCCGGTGAGGTTGAACAAACGTTCACACAACAAAACCTCAAGAGACAGACACCATAAACCTGTGGACTCCTGCAATCCTCAGAAATGAGCTGCAGATACATGTACACAGTTCAGTGGCACAGTGCATTGACATCCCTGCATATGCAGGCCTGTGATAAGAGGTGTACGAGTTACATAACTTCTCTATAATTACCCAGGGAACAGTCATGAGATGCAGTCCAAATACAACCCCAGGCTTCATCGCAGTAACTTTGCTGTTGTGACACAGTTGCGCTGCATGTGAGATTGGTTATATTCTCACTATGACTGTAAATCTGCTGCACAGTTTCACAATGAGGATGTAGCGGAGGCTAATTTGGTCTCTTGTTTACTGTTTCTTCATGTTACCACTAAGAGAGAACACACACAGGCAGGACGGCTAACACCGTTTTCCTGTGAAAAACTAAATAAATATTATATTTAAAACAAACAAATGTGTCCCTTGTTCTGATCTGAATATAGGGTATTGAATTTGCAAAGGAGCAAAGAGCATGAATAGTGCTACTGGCATGAAGCCAAGACTCACATAAAGAGGTATTTAAAAGTCAAACAAAATATATTTAACACAATTTAGAACCATACACATAATCACGGCCTCCACAGCCGTCAGCATCATGGCCACAATGAATTTGTTACGAGAAAAGTGTTGTAATTATTCCAGTAAACAGAAGTAAGACACTGAAATCAAGTCATGCACAACGACAGGAGGGAAATAAAAACTCTTGACATAAGTTTGTCATGTTTCATTTGCAGCTGAATGTGGTTTCTGTGTGAATCAAACCTAAAACAGTAAAATTTAAATACACTTAGTTGATGCTACTTTATTAGGTAAAAGCAGTGAACTACAACAGATCTGGGATAAATCCATCCTGAAAGTTCTAATGTTTTTGCTTAAACAGAAATATTGATTCAACTTTACAGCTGCATTTTGTGGTATTGATGAATCGTGTTGTGTTGACAGTGAGAGGTGTTTCGACAAAAGTTATATGAATGAAAACAGACTAAGTATATAAACAAATCTCAGTTTAATGTAATATTCTTTGGTCACTTTAAAAAGACCAACAATTGTGTAAATACAAACAATGTACTTTCAATAATATGTTGCAATATCATGTTTTTAGCACCACTTAAATATTTCCATCTGTGTTTGTGTGGGTGATAATGTCAAGTTTTGCACAATTCAGGACATTTTTTAATTCAAAATGACAACAAACAGCAATTTGTGTTGGTTGAACTCTGTGATAAACTGTCTGTCGTACAACTCCCCATGAGGATCCTGTGTGACACTTATTGTCAAGAAACTACAACAAAAACAATGTTAGTGGCTCTGGTCCTCTGGGGCCTTTTCATCATCATTCACTGTAATAAAGTCACTAGCTTCATCTGCGACCCTCCCAACAATCTGATGCACAAACATCTGGCTGCCGGCGAATAACTGCTTGCCATGCAGAGCAACCCACATTTACACTCTGCAGGCACTCCTGCTGAGATATTCATAACTCTTCCTTTGCTCCAGTAGTCGTGACACCTCGCTCACTCCCACAGTTCAGCTGCATGAACACCACACGGCTCAGGGTCTGCAGCCAGAATCAAGCAATGTTAAGGTTTTTGCTTCTGTTGGGAGATTCCCTCTGAAATTGAAGATGAATACTATTAACAGAAGTTGCACTCGACTAAATAATTAAAAAACAATCCTAACCCAGTTTGAAAGCAAGGGTGGGGGGGAATGTCTTTTTGAGATTGCAAACTTGCACAAGCAACATGTCTTTGAATGTGAATCCTGCTGAGGTCAATAAAAAATAGACGGCAATGTGCAAACATTTGGCTTAAAAATGAAACTTGTATCACAAGAATTATTTTCATTACATCAACGTTGTCCTCCTCATTTATAGTTTGGTTTCTAAAATGCAGGAAAATATGAAAAATGTCCATAACATTCAAATTAATTTGCCCCATATTAGTTTACTAACATCAAAAACAAACAGGCAATGAATATCATGATCATTTATTGTGTCAGCTTTAACCACATGTCAGTAATAAAGGCGTGGGTAAAATGAATATTTGTATGTGTTTCATTGATATTCTGTGGATTCAAAATGGTGTTGCACACAACGTATAGGACTTCACTTTGGCTTAAATAGATGCAGGGCACAAGTATGAGCGGCAAAATGATGATTTTCTTCTCTCTCCGGCTGTGGTTATTTTTAACAGTGCATCCATGCTCCTGACATTGTTCTAAAAATGCTTATATCATGATAACAATGGGAATTTTCATATAGAATGCATTTTGCAGCAAATAAAACATATTGCAGCTCATAACGCCAAATAGTTTCTGCACGATGACTTGAGCAGGAAATGAAAAACACTTTCAGTAGCTTATCGCTGACGTGTATAACAGTCTTCAGGAATGTATCGCGTTTATTTCACGGTTCAAATCCGAACTCGCACTTCGGAGAAGTTTTCACATCAACCACAGCGACGCCCCAAGTTCAGCAACGACACACGCCCACAATCCCTCCCAGCCAATCAGAGCCCGCGCACCTCTGCATCACACCAATCAGCTACAGAGGGGGGCGGGTGGCTCAGGCTGTTGCTAGGGTATGTCCCTCATGACTCTTTTTGTCCCGTCGCACCAATCAAATCGCGACTCGGCGTTCAAAGCCCGCCCATTGGTTGAAACGCATCCGGAGTGCCGGCCCACAGGCTGCTCTCATTGGGCGGAGTGTCTGTCAGTCAGCGGGCTGAGTTGTAGTCAGCCTGCTGTTGATAGTGTAGTTTCGAGTCACTAAGACTCAGAAGTGGAAACAGCAGCGAGCTCACACCTCTCCAACTGTTTTTATCATTTCAGCTCCGGCTACTTTATGATTTCTACATTCATGTAAATACATTATTTTTCTCTTTCTTTAAATAACAAAGAAGAAGAAGAAGATGGAACTTAACTCCCTGTTAATTCTGCTGGAGGCGGCAGAGTACTTGGAGAGAAGAGACAGAGGTAATTCAAGCTCAACTGACAACTTGACAGCGTTTCCTCCGCTCCCGGTTCATCCAGTGGATAAATAACAAGCTAAGGTGGCAGCTAGCTTAGCACGCTCTGCCGTCCGTAAAGTTTTAAACGTGCCCTGCCACAGTGCAGGTATGATGTCACTTGGTAGACGATGGGATGTGGAGCAGACGACGGGTGCAAAGTGGAGCTAGTAGCTTGTACGCGAGGAAATAACAAGTGTAATTCAAAATTCAAAGGATGTCATGTGTTTCTGGACATGTGTTAAGGCTGGGTTATAGCCAGAGAGAGATCAGTGAACAAGAGTGACATTGACAACAGCATCATAATGACCTGTATTGAACATGAGCTACACAATGCTATGTGTATGTACGCTATCTTGAATGTACATTTTTGCCTCTTTAAGCTGTGTCATGTTACACGATTTTTCCCTCAAAATGGCTCATTGGCAGCTCACTTTTCTCCACGATGACTGAACTCTATTCATTTCTGTGTCCTGTCAACAGAGGCAGAACACGGCTATGCGTCTGTTTTACCGTTCAGCAGCGACTTTTCCCGAAAGAAGACGAAAACCTCGCCAATTTCCAGAAAAAATCAGAACAATAGGTAAATATACGTCTGTCTCTTCTTTTCTTTCCTCACCCCCCCTTCACTGTTTGTATGTGAGCCCCCCTCCACACACACACACAATCGCACGCACACTGTTTTCATGCCTGGGCTGGGCTCCCTCTCCTCTGTTTTGGTCTCTCCAATAAACACTGCCACGCGTACACTGTCAACTCTGCTGCTCCCACTCTGCTACACACACACACACACGCACGGGCTCGCACGCACACACGCACATGCACACACGCACGCCTAAAACAAAAAACCCTCCCCATGCTGATACAAAACACTGTCGATATGCACAGAAGCTTTCGTGTTTGCTGCCAAGATCGCATGCTTTCACTTGTGCAAAACTTTGATATCCCTACTTATGATTTGTGTGAGTGAGCGTTTGATGTGAAAGTAAAATGTCCTTAAGTTAGCCTGTGAGTATGTGTGGTGGTGGTGGTGGGGTCTTCTGATCAGGATATCAGCTCAACTTTTCTTCCAGTATAGGCATTTCTGCTAGAGCTATCACTTCCCATTAGTAAACACATTGAAGTTTCAGTTTCTGTTTGGTCCATTTAAACATCATAATGGTTAATATTTCATTCTCATCTACATAATGAAAAGATCTGTCCACCTCCAGATCGTTATTAGTGCTCATATTTCATATTAACATTGTGTTAATCATTGGCACACATGCAAAAGTTTCAAATATCCATCAAATATTTGTGTTGCTTGATTTGTAGTGTCATTTTAGTTTTAGTTTCCAGACAGAACACTGGCACATCAACATCAGACTAATAATTTAAAAAAAGCCATTGGGTAATATTAGTTTAGGGAAATGCAGTGAGCCTGGTTTCCTCAGTAGAGTTACATCATTGCACATCCAGCATGTACAACCACTGTTGTAATTACACTTCTTTTGACGGCATATGATGTTTTGCAAAATTCAAAATTTTTTTTTTTTGCAACCCCCTCCACATTCCTTTCATTATAATCTCCAACAGAATAACACAGTTAAGTGTGCGCGTGTGGGTTAGGGGTGTGTGGATGTGGCAGGTGGGTGTGGTGGCTTAAACAGACACCTACACACACAACGGAACAAACACTGGGTTTCATGCAACAGACCTGCTTTTCCCTCCTTTTTTTTCTTGTGACTCCAAGTTTAGGGGACAAAATTCCCCATTGGGGAGTTAAAAACATGTTTCATGCTTGAACTGAAACCATGTTCTCAGTCTTGCAGAAGCTGGTTGTTAGTTGAAAATTTCAATGTTATCTTCGTAGCATCAACAACTGGTGTTACAGTGTTTGATATCACAGCCATAAATTCAAATTAAACAGTTAACATGTTTTGCAGTGGTGCATTATTCAGGGCATTCAGTTGCGAGTCTAATTCTGCACTTACAGAAAGAAGAACCCTGGTGGAATTTCCTTGTTTACTTGTAGGCTGTTGTTATAATCAAAACACTTCTAAAAAAAGAGCGAGACCTGGAATTTTACTGGTGAGACTTTTCCTGCTTCACCCCTCTGTCACACTAAGTATGACATTAAAATATAAATAGCTCAGATAATAAGGAAAAGACTGCCTAACTTTTTTTGACATCCTTCAAATCAGATTTGTATGTGGGGAAGAGATACACAGGGCGTTCTCTACACGAGTATGAGTGCTGGCACTTTTACATCCCATGTAAAAGGTGATAAAAAGCCACTTTGCAGGCCATCAGGCACAAGTTTATGACATCAGAACACATAGCGCTTTGCATGCTACATCATGCTATAAAGGTGTGTGTTAACCTGATGTTGTTACATTTCCGTGTGCAGTCTCTTCCTGTGAAGGGTGTCATCTGATTTCCTGGTCATGCCCTGTGCTTTGACTGGGACGTTCTCCACGGTTACCTAACTTCCTCCATGATGGATTAAGCTCTTTGTTGATCTATAGGTTTGGGTTATTGGTCAAATAATTTGTCCCTGTTGCATGGTCAACTGTAACTCCTTTTTGGTGCAGGGAGGGGATTGTCACAGACGCCGCTGCTCTGCGAGCTCAAGGGCTCCCAAACAGCTGAGGAAATCTGAAAAGGCCTGTTGTCAGTCTGGCCCTTTTTGTTTGTCGCTGTTTTTGTTTTTATTGCTGTGGTGGTATCCATGACGGTCTCGAGAACAGTGGGCCTGTTTCAGATGGACTGCAGTACCCCCACCCCTCAGCCCAGCTCTCCGGCTGCACATCATAATAGAGAGTCTCCTCAGAATAGCCCACACACTGAGGAATTCTGTAGCGTCTAGGCCTCCCAGACGACTGGGTGTGTTTTTATCCTATGTCCACGCTGCTGCTCGGTCAGCGTGCAGCAGCAACAACAGCGGTGCATGCATGCTGTTTGTATGGGTGCTGGGTGAGCCAGCAGGAGTGTGTTGTGTAGTGTCACAGATGTCTCTCTTGCTCTCTCTCTCTAGGCCATCTTTGACCTCTGGTCCTCAATCTCTGACAAAATGTCACATGGACATGGAAAGAGATTTTAAACATCGAGCCCTGTTTTTGCATAGTTGTCATGGCTTTCTATTTTACTGAAGGTGTGACCAAGTTTCTGGATGTCTGTGCCCTTTATTCACCCAATCAGAATTAACATGCAAGTTTCACATTACTACGTTTCTTCTCGTGCTGCAATCAAAAGCCTTAGAGGCTCCTGGAGGCAGAATGAAAAGAAAGAGCTGATTTGTCCTCATTTGATCTCTTGACATATTTTCCCCGAATGCTTCTCAGATCTGCTGATACTTGGCGCTGACTTCCAAATGTCTTTCTTCAATCTGTTTTACATGTACTAACCACGCCTATCTCGTTGGGATTATTTATAATATCCCAGCATAACTGTTTGTATAGTATTCTTGGTACACGTTGTCTTGACACTCATCTGTGTCCTTTGTCTGTTTGGCCTTTCAGATCGTCACACAACGAGCTGGAGAAACACAGGTAAGGTGGCATCTCAGGTTCTTTCACCTACCCCATCTCTCTCACATCTGATTCGCGGTCATATCTCTAGTCAGCACAATAGAATTCCTAACATATTAAGTAAAGGGATGCTGGCTGTGGGGGGAAAAACCATCAGATATGTTTCTCTCAGTCAGAAGCACCAGATTGGATCAGAGGTCATGTTCAAAGAGCCACAGATTTAATCAATTAATTCCTCGTGTCTCAAAACTGATAGTAGGCTGATTTCAAAGAGCACCTTCGTGTCGATGAGATCTGTCTCCATTTCACGGATGAAACTCGTTACCTTGTATGGAAGGGGAATCCTGTCAGTAATGTGATAATCCTGCCCAGTCTGATGCTGCAGGCAGAGGCGGGGGGCTGAATCTGGCCCTCGCTTGTCATTTCTCCAAACTGAGAAGGCCAGAGACAACACACACACACACACACACACACACACACACACACACAGACACACTGCTCCCTCTACATCCACCAGCTGGTTTCCTCTCCTCTGCCAAGTCCTGTCAGTGTGTGTGTNACACACACACACACACACACACAAACTGTGATCCTGCTCTACTACTCCCAGCATGCACTTCATTGCAACTCAGAGACTTATTCTTTTCTTTTACCCCCTTGTGGGTGCAGGGTTCAGCTTGTGGTGGTGTGATACACTTGCTCATTAAAGGCACAGACATCTGTTTTGACATCATTAACAGTGGAAGTGACTCCACATTGATACAAGACAACTTAACTTCTGTGGAGTTTGGTCGATGCAGTAAAACGTTTTTATGGTAGTTTTGTTCTTGCATCAGTTACCTCAGCTGACTTGTCGAAAAACTGCCTGCCTAAGGATTTAGGGAAACAGCTGATGTGACTTTCAGCACGTGAGCCAGGCTGAGATGGGTGTGTGGGGCTGCGTGTGTGTGACACACTATCACCGACATTGAGGGATTGGGTTTTGCCAGTCACATGTCTGAGTGAGTAATGGATGTGTGTAGTGGGAGAGAGAGAGAGAAGAAACAAGTGCAGACACATTCCTCTCTGACCTGAGACACAGAGGAGGAGGCCAGGGCCGATTACACTGTGGTGAAGTGTTGAGACACCACTTACCTCATGTCCAATGACGGGGTGTGGTGGCTTAGCAATAGAGTCAGTTCCAGTCTAACTGACAGTTCCATCAAAGTCTTCCATAATCAGTTTACTCACTTCCCTTGTCACCACTAAGGCCCCATGTTTCTAAAAAGACGTTTTTTTTAGACATTCAGTGCAGTGTCATCACTGTAATGTTAAAACATGCCACTTCTTTCATTTATTCTCTACGATTATAGCAATGAAATGAAACTAACCTTAAAGACAAGTGAAGCATTATTCTGTATTCTTGTCTTGTCCTTATTTCCCCTGTTTGTTTTTCCACCTGTGACTGTGTTTAAGCCTAAATTTCAACCTACTAATTTGTAATAACAGGCCCTTTAATGACGAGGTATCATCATGTTCCTTTAAAACATAATGCATCCTGATACAAACCCTGTCTGGACTTGTGTCTTCAAATTACATTGTCATTACTCCAACATGCAGGTGTTAAAGGTTGAAACTCTCTTTAGGCTTTAGCACGATCATGTATGAGGCATTTGTAAGTAGCGTATATTTACCTACAGAATAGTTTTTAAGGATATAATATGTAACAATTCTTAATTAAAATGTCTAAAATCGACTAGACCCAGTTACATATTTTGTTGACTTGTGGATTTACATTAAAGCCACAATTTTTTCTCAAGGTAAGGGGACGTTTCATTTTGGTCACTTTTTAATTGCATTATATCCACTTTACCTGTGGCTTTCCTTGTCTCTGCTACAACTTCTGGGGCAAACAACGTATGACGACGGAAAAATCCACTGTTAGCCAGTTAGCAGTTTTTTTCCTTCCAGTGTTTGTATCAATTCATTGGCGTTTTGCTGCATAATGTGAACCTTAACCGTGAACATGATTTAAGCCTGAGATAGATTTTCATTGGCAATGGTGGTGAAGACAAGGACTCCCATGATCCCACACTGCTTCACGGCATCATCGAACTAGGTCTTTTGATATTGTTTTAAATGAGACCACAATTGGCAAAGTTACATATTGTACTTTTCACTAATATGTAGTGCTGAAATGATACTTTGGTTAATTGAACAACAGGAAATTAATCAACAAAAATTCTGACTCCCATCTAAGTCATTTATTAAGCAAACATACCAAAGAATTTGCTGATGCCTGTGACTCAAATGAGGATTCTTGCTAACTTTCTCTGTTTTGCATCGCATGGTGAATTTTTCGGGGTTTTGTGACAAAACAAGCAATATATAAGACATAACTGTATGTTTTCAGAACTAACAATGGGCCTTTTTCACAATTTTGTTGACCAAACGATACATTTCTGACAAAAAAAAACTACCTTAAAATTAATTATTTGCAGCCCCAGTGATATGCTATATTGATTCATATGAAACCAACATTTTCAGTCGGTTGACTGTCTGTCTATCTGCTGCTGATTCATATGAAAACCAAAAGTCCAGCTGTCCTGTCCAACCTGTTCAATGACCTTGTGACTAGTTTGTAAAATTTGCTGAAAGCCCTGTTCAGCCCTGTTTCCTCAAGTTTGACATCCCTCACACCCCTCAGACAACCACCCCAGGGAGGTGATGACTCACTGTCTTTGTGTGGTCATGTGTTTGTGTGTTTAGTTCTCATACAGACACATCCTTTTACTGATAGTCACAAGGCTGACAGGGCGACTAATGGACGTCATTTGTTGAGGATAGTCTAACAGGGCTGTACCCAATAAGAATCTTGTGAGAGGAGTGCCCAATAGCTTACCTGGTTGAGCAAGTATGGAGACTTGAGTCCTTAACAAAATGTTTTGGGTGATCTGATCACAAGTGGACGGCTGTATACGTACAGGTGTTAATGCACCAGACTCTCATTGAGGACACATTGAGATCAGAACCCGCAGGCGTAATGCTACATTATTTTCAAAGTGTCTATGCTTGCTTTATGCTGGTTTTGTCTACGATGTCTGATAACCCAAACATCTTCAGACATTAGACATCTTGGGTGAACTGGTTTACCTGGAACATGATGAAGAATGAAAAATTGGAGGAGCATTGCTGCCTCCCACGGTTACAATAACACACTTGGTCTTGATGTACATAGAGAGATAAGATCACATGCAGTCACTTGAGTCACAGAGTTACATATGGGGACACAGTCAAACGCCAAGTGTGAAGCGATGTATTTAGAGCTGTCCACTTAGGACTGGATAACCTGAGACAAACGTTAATGCCAGTGAGATCAGGGCCTGAGTCAGATGTTTAGAATCTCTGCTGCAGCCCGAGCTCAGCTGTGACTGCACAGACCATCAGAAAGGGTGACTCTGCAGGTTTTTCTTTCCTCTCTCATCATTGCATCGACACAGGACAGAGCTGCAGAGCATCAGCTTGACATTTCTGTGAAACCGAATGCTTCTTGTGTGGTTGTTCTCCGCTGGCATTGCTTCCTTCCCATTTCTGACTTCAGCCGCCGCTCATGACGCCTGTGACGACTCGTGCCTGCCACAAGTTTCCCTTTCTCGTTATGCCAAGAAGTTGTGAAAGCATACAGACGTTTTTTGCTTTCCCACATATTGTTTGTTTACAGGAAATATGAGTCCAATCGCGTGAGGCTCGGGTAACTGTTGTTTGCAGTGCTTACCTCAATTGAGCAAAGGATTTACAGATCTATTTTTATCTCTCCAGTCGCCACGCATGACTTTCAGGTGCTCTTATTTTCATTTTCGAGATCCATCAGCGTTTGCAGATTGATTTCAACAAATGGTATTTTTTTACTGTAAGCTGCACAGCATATCCCACCGCAGATGATGTGCAGCAACTGTGCAACACCTCTTGAACTTGACTCTAAATTTACACAAACTTCACGGACACAGGAGCAGACTCTCAGTTTGTCACAGTCTAATGTTCTCTTTAATAAAATTTACTCTGTGTCTCCTACTCCCAGCTATGATGAATGACTTATTTGGTTTTGAGGAGCTCTCTCCCATTGAGTGAGGTACATCTATGTGCAGTGGGAGGGAGAGACATCCACTGTCCTGTTACTTCACCTGTTTACATTCTACTCTTTGTCTCCTTTTTTTCTCCAGAGACCACATCTGTTTTTTCTGTTATCTTTTTTCCCCTTACTCCTCATTTTTGCCCTCTAAAAGTGTCTGAGTCAGCAGAAACCTGAGGCCCTAGAGAGGAGAAAGCTCCTGCTCATCTTTGCCCGTTTCCACTCTTTTGAGGGTGGAGGAGTTTCGAAGGGCATTTTAATGTGGATTGTAAACTACACAGCCTCTGTGAACTCATTATGTCATCATCCTGCTTTTAAATGTTTTTACATAAATGTCATGACTGCCTCTAACAGGCTATGAGATTAAAAAAAACAAAACAAGTGCTGGCAGTTTCTTATTTATGTTTGAGTTTTGGCTTTGGTGTGACGTTCACATGCTCACATGGCTTTTGTTTTTAACTTCCTCAAATGTCACAACGTCAGTTACATTCCTCACATCTGTTGCTCATAAACTACCAGTAATGACTGATGAATTGTACCCCATGTTGGCCATGTTGTAATCTGTAGGAAAATGTATATTCACGATGAAATCAGTGAATGCTGTGGTTGTGCCACATAGATAAAATATTTATAATTTTATATGGAAATAAGTAAATACATGTAAGACTGCTACTTATTATTTTTTATCAACTAGATACATTTTTCCTTATCATTTTGTTTGTAAAATGTCACAAAACAGAAATAAACAAATGTCCTACAGCTCAAAGTGACATTTAAAAAAGCTTGTTTCATCTGAACAACAGTTGGAACTCTTATTATTAGATAAGAGAGAAAAAAACATTAATTCCTCACAATCAAGAGGGATATTTATTGTGAAAAGCTTTGGAGGTTAATTTTTGGCTTGTCTGGATAA